AATGAGCCAGAAATAGTCATTCCAGGCTCTCTGGTATTTGTCGACAGTATTCATCTGCGAACCGCAAGCGACCTCTGAGCGTTCATCTGGCAAGACAATGAATCCGTGGCTTAATGGTTAGAGCGTTGGACGTCTAAGCAACAGGTCGCTGGTTCCAGCTTCCGGCGGTGCATCACCGGGACGCTGGTTATACCTGGTTGATGTCGGCCAATATGCTAGAAACGGCCATCCCAGTCTCCCCCGTCTTCGTTGGATTAAATGAACGCGTACAAAAGTATCGTTTCGGAGACGAGGGCAGTGACAAAACCGTAGGTGGGGTTACTAAATCAGCATCCCAATGTGACTGCGCAGAGCGTCGTACGCGCATGGGACGCCAATACGCCCTCCATTGTACTTTTTTTCATTACAATCAGCTCAGGCGATGGTCATCGCCATGAGTTCGAAAGTTAACACTTCTAGACGACTACAACCGACGCTGGAAACTCCTTCCCACCCCTCCATGAGCAAGTATCGTCGGCGTGCAGACAAAGCGTTTACCGTATGCACCAAAAATCGAAAACTAACGTCCATTCAGGGGGGCGGGGGGGGGGCAAAATACAGTTTCTACATCTGAACACTGCAAGAAAATCCTACCCCCAGAAACGACCCCGGTTAGCGTCTCGAATTATCTAAGCTATAGAGGAGTGGCCGACAACGAAAACGCCATCTTCTGAGCGCGTCCACGAAGGAGCGAAAAAAAAGACGATGTTTACAGCCACGCCGAGGCGTTTTATTCGTCTACTCAAAGAAACACTGCAACTGAGCATGGGAGACAGAGAAATAGAGAGAAAGTGAGATGGACTAAAATCTCGAAGGCAACCGATTGCAGAGATCGCTTAAGGCGGTGTCTCAGGATGAGCTGGCAGTGATAATGGTGTGTGTGGGGGAGAGGGCGGAGGCTGATGGTAGTTCCTAGAAGACAACAACAACAACGACAGGAGGAGGAGGAGGGGATGGTGGTGTGCATACAAACGCATGCACGACCAGGATACAAGGTTATGTGGGAAAGGGAGGACCAGAAAGAAGACCGTTAGTGTGTGTGAAGAGAAGCAGTGCGAAAGTACCTCTTCGTGGGGCGTGGGGGGGGGAGGAAGTGGGCACAGAGGAAGAGAATATCCTTCGGTAAGGGACCAAAGACCTGTGGAATGATAACCGTTTCATGTCAGTTTGAAAAGGTAGACGGGGGCAGACAGGGAGGGAGAGAGAGGCTAGGAGATGCCAAAACAGTAGCCGCGGCTATCGTGAGCCACGCCCTCCAGGGTTGAGCCCTTCATCACAGATGTCACCTCCACGGCGGCCGCAATTGACCACTTCGGAGGATTGGGAGAAGAGGGTAAACACGGTGGATACGCACACTGACTAGCTTCACAACGTGAATACTGATCAGGAAAGTCCAAAGGAAAAAAGAGAAGAAGGAAAGATGGAGGGATTACAAAGTGCAATTACAGCGCTTCCGGGTGGATTGGAGAAGAGGTAAAACACGACGGGATGCAGCAGCAGAGTAAAACGGGAAACTTTGAGTAGAGAAAAAAAGGAAGGCAGCTGATTGGAATCTAAAAGGATCTAGAATAAAATACAAAGAGACGAGGAGAAAAAACGCAAGTCCAAATCATAAACGCTAGGGCTGGGCTGGACTGATGTGCACGTGAGCATATGAGGCCGAGAGAAGATCCAATTGGCGGCAATGACCACTAACGAACCTGTCCCGCGACCTGGCCTTGTTGTTTTAAGTGAGGGCTGAGCGAGCTGACCGCCGTTGAAAAATGAGGCGGAGAGTGGGTGGAGGGCAACGGGGGGTGGGAGGCGGTCTAAGGGGAATTGGCGATTACTTGTAATGGGAGGAGGAGGAGAGGGACGAGGAGTGAGGTTCTAATAGTATGTTTCACGTTCCACCCAGTTGCCCGGTGGTAGAGTACGCAGTAGCTTCTTGCGGGTCTCATCAAAGATGAAGATTACAGCACTGAAGGGCAGAGCGGGTAACCACCACGTCCACCTAAAAAAATCAAAAAAATGAAAAAAATATGAGCTAACTCAAACAGTGACTGCCAACTAAGCCAAACAAGCTTATGATTCTGCTGCCTATCACACTACCCGGTTGGGATTTTACAAAGAGTCAGATGATCCAGCGAGAGAAACGCAGGGATCCCAGATAACTGCATCAGTTTAATACTGCTGCAACGTACGTAAATCAGGTAAACACCAAGAGAGAGACAGCGAAATGGCGGCATTCCCCTTTTTCTCTGATGTGCCTCAAGATGACACATGAGATACCAAAGGCACCTCTATGGTCAACCTGTCAGGGTTTTGATCCTACCCCCTAGAGACCATCAGTCTGTGCACCCAAGCGAAGCAAGGCAAACTCACCGAAGAGGCATCATGCGCAGACCGTACTCCAGACCGGGGCAGTAGGAAAGGAAGATGGCCAGCGTGGTCTCAAAGAAGAGGCCAAAGGTCAGGTAGTGATTCCACATGCCCTGTTGGAAAATGGAGTTCTTGCGAGTTTTGCAGATGAGCAGATCAGTCCACTGCACAATGACGATGGAGGAGAAGAAGGCGGTGTGGCATGTGTACTCCAAACGTTTGCGCTGGTTATAAGTCTGTAGGTGCGGGGCGGGAGAAAAAAAGAGACATATATAGAGAAACAGGCATAAACCAAAATGAGAAGATACGATTACGAGAGCGTGGGGGGACGGGTGTCAAACACG